TTAGCAAATACTTTCTTTATATAATTTTAATTGGAATATAACGTAAACTGATATAAACTAAAACATTAATTCAAGCAAAACTCAGTTATCGAAAAGATTATTTCGGTGATGAGTCGAAAGGAAACAGATTCTCCGAAAGCTCGAAAAACAGTAATTAGAAAATTTGAACAATTTATACAGTTTATAAACAATAAATATATCATTAGGAGGAAAAATAAATATTGATATATTTTGAATGAATAAAGTTTATTTTTTTAGAAATATAACCTTTTCATTTTGACCTACCAAAAAACGATGATTTTATATGATACAATTTTACACATATACTTAATTTGAAATTTCTTTGTATCAACAAAGTGTAATCTTGCCCAGATAAAATCTATTATAAATAAAGTAAGTAAAAAAAAAATGTTGGAACATCAAGATACATAAATTGCGTCCATTCACATGCATAAAATCTCACGATCTTTGAAATATAAATTCTTTCGAAAAATATTATTTTAAAATATAAAAATTTTATTAAAATTATCTTATCGTGTATTATCTGCGTATTTCTATCCAAGTGAAAAATCTGGGATTCTTTTGGTTTAAGGTGATAGAATCTTTTTGAAATACTGCGTTACAGTGAGTGCGTAAATTATAAATGAGCATCAGCATTTCTGACCCGCCTACAAATTTTTTACGTCGCCCGATGGCGGATTTTTCGCCGCACAATTAAAGAAACAAACTACTCTATGTAAAGCACGAGAAAAAGAATGACTTCTTTTCACGGATCATAGAAGTCTCTCGCAAAAAAGAAAAAGACAGAGATATATTCTTGAGAGAAATATGAGTGCAGAGTCTACATAAAAAAGTTACAAAAAAAATTAATCCCATTATTTTTTAGATATACTATATATAATTCTTTTTTAACATTCTGATGTAGTTGCAATTTTTAAGACTAGATTCCGATTTTATCTTCTCGTTCCCAACCATATGGCTACGTATATTTAAAATTATGAAATAGAATATTATATAGCCATTTCTATTTCCATATCTGTGATATGTACTCTTTTCAGTCTTGTATATGTGACTCTAACACGTATTTTGATGTGTATTTTTACAAAATTTCGTAATAAAATATTAGAATATTATCAACTTTCATTTCTTGCCGTCACAATTCGATGACAAGAGTTATCTTAAATGCAATTAATGTTTAAAAATAATAATTTCCTTGGAATATTTTAAATAGATTTACTAATTAAAAATAAAAAGAAAGGTTTTTCTTAATGTATAATAACTTTGCAATGTAAATTATTGTACATGTAGTACAAATAAAATTTGTTGCTAATAGTGATAAATAAAAAAAATCCTTAAACGTTTTTAAAACGTCAAAATTTTTTTATGAATGATTTATTTGTTATGTAACATATGCACCAAAATGTTTTAAATTACAAATAGTTTCTTGTAGCTATTAAATAATTTCGGAATGAAAGGGTCAACACAAAAAACAATAGAAAACTATTTTTCCTAAACTCATGCGGAGCAATATAATCAAAACAAATTAACGGCTTGATCATTTGACCTTGTAAATAGCAACTGACACACATACAGGGTGATTCAAAACAACCTGATGTCCTTGAAATGTCATATTCTTGAACGATTTCTAAAGCCGAATCCACAATGTGTTTTTCGATTTTTGTTTTCTGTCTTTTTGCCTTTATATAAAGGCATATTTTTCTTCGAAAATTCAGAAAGGAGAAATTTTAAATCACGATGTTTCTTGACTCCATGCGACAAATACATAAAAAGCAAAAATACGAAAGGCAGAGAGTAAGAAACAATACGTAAGAAACACATTGTAGATTTTTCTTTTTGCAAAATCTTGTCCAAAGTTTTGGAGTTATAATAATATAATATCGGACTCGTGTGAATAGTGAACTATTTTCAATTATAACTCGAAAACTAGCTACGGACAAAATTTTGCGGAAGGAAAAATCGTCTTAGAAATCGCTCAAGACTATGACATTTCAAGGACATTAGGTTGTTTTGAATCACCCTGTATGTACAGTGTGTCATATCATGTCATTTCGTTTGTTGGTATGTCGATATATCGCAGCACTGTGCCTATTTCACAATCTTGTTCACGGTTGGCTTGATCAATTTGGCACAGACATTACTATTGCGAAGAATTATTTTGAGCTCCGCGAACGCCGTAGGTGCATCATGCGCCGTCGCCATCGTCACCATACCGCACGCAATCGAGAGAATCAAAGAGCATCCGCGACTGATTACAAAAAAATTTCGATTCTTTTTAGTGGCCAATTAAAAAAATTAAAATATTAACGAGATATATAAAGTGCCTAATTTTAATAATAAATTTTCTGACGAATTTGAAGTAAATTTTTTCTTAACAAATATGTTAAAAAAAAAATTTTATATACACATTTTATATTATTTTTAACTAAACTTTAAATAAAAATTTTATCACACAAAATTTTAATTAAAATTAACTAGTAATAAGTATAAAATATTCCTGTTATTTATTCCCTTACAACTGGAAAATTTCATTGATGTCTTGATATTTTTGCTCAGAAAAAATTACTTCTAAATTTGCCTAAATAAAAAGCATCTGTCATTAAAAAATTTTCAAATTTAGATGTTATATCTATAAAAAATATGCATGCATACGTGTGGTACGTACAAAAACGTGATTATTCTTA